AAAGCTTTGACGGGCTGACAAAGTTTATCTAACTTGTATACAGGTTGGTGCGACAAGTCGCAGTTGGGCACATTTATCACAGCTGAGTAATATCAGGCTCACAATTGCAAGACTCACTGTTTTTTGATTATGAATGATATATGTATTGTTCGAGAAAGCTTAGCTCTCACCTGAAATATAGTCCCAATAAATTGAGCACTGGCAAGACTGTCAAAGATTTAAAAAAAAAATAAAATAAAAAAAATAAAAACATGACTGTTAAAAAAAAAATAATTTATATACTGTATAATTTATTTGTAGATAGATTACAAATACAAGTATTACACATTACAAGTTTGTATAATAAAAAAATTAGTCATGTATATACAATTAGATCTCCCTAAGTGCACTTCCCTAAGTAAGTGTACAGATTATATAAACTCTATAAGAGCTCTGTGCGGGTGAGAGTGATATAGATAGACGAAAATTCTGTAGATATGTGCGGGAAAATTTATTTCGGAAATCTAGTATAATAAAAGAGTGTGGGCGAGAATCTCGTATTTAGCTCTAGCGATAGTAATAAATTAATTAGGCATTTTTCGAAAATGCGAGAGAGCAAAAAGATAATGTGATGCTGGGACTCGCATTAAATGGCCTAGGATCCGCGTACTCCCTCTCATTCATTTTCGTTTAGGACACTTGCAAAAAAACCATTAATGATCGGAATCATATGACTTTGAAAATCAGTCGCGTAAAAGTGGACGGTTACGCAAAAAAGAAACTAGTTCGTAACTCGATTTAGCCTTTACTGGTACAAAATTTGTGAACGACCACCTTTTAATTGCTTCTAACATTACGGCCTCTCTCGGTATCCTTTTTTGTTTGTAGATATACTGTACTTAAACATGCCCGAGTACTTCAGCCGAAACCCTGAGAGTTGGAGTATTCTAGATTTTTTGAATGAGTGTACCCTGGAACCGTTCGATAAAAAAATAGATTTTTACATAAAATCCCTCTTAACAATAATTAATTCTCATAAAAGTAGTGTGCAGGAAAGAGAAAGCGCACAAGTGCTTTTTGATAAATACAAAAAGGCAAGTAAAATTCTTGGAAAGTGAAGTGGCGTGGTTGGAGGCCTACTAGGTCGCCCGTCATTCAAGGCTATTAGCTGAGCCACGAAACTGGTGTTGGCGCACAGGTGACTTTCCCAGTTATCTGATGCTAAAGGCTATTAGCTGATCCAACACTGGACCCATTGGGACACAGGTGGCCTATTAGGTTGCGATGATGTTCCAATGGGATAGGAAATATTAGTCGAAAATTATTACTAATTTCTAGAATTTTCATTCGTAAGGATCCTAAACCTGATCGAACAAAAGCAATGGAATGGGAAAAGAAGCGCATGCAGAAACAAATTCACATCCAAAACGCGGGAACTGTAATTCATGAAATAAATGGTGGAACATTTGAAAACATAAACGGTGAGATAAAACCTATATCAAAAGAAAAGGATGATGATTTCATGTCTGTCGGTATACCAAAGCGATCTCTTACGAAAAAGGTTAGGATATAAGACCTTATGTTGCCTACAATAATTCTTAATGATTTATTATATCTACAGAATAATGAGTCAGTATAAATGTATCCCTACGATTATAAGGATTTGTTACCGTGAGTTCTTCTCTCTATTTTTTTTTCGTAAACAGGCCAAAACCACAAAAGACAAGTCATCCTCATCACACGGCACAAGCGAAGTTAATAGTTCTGGCTATGGTAGACCATATACTCCGCCTCATCAAATACATTCTGCACCAAGGAGTCAAGTCTTGATCTCACCACACAAACCAACTCTTTATGTGCATACTGCGAAATATTTGGCAAAACATTTTTCAATAAGTATTAATCAAGGTTGTGTTATTACGAAAACAAATCAAGTTGTAACAATTCCATCGGAAATTCGCCATTGGCTCATTGACTCATTTTCAGTAAGTAAAGATAGTTTATTCGGATGTTATGTTTAAGGTATAAATATATTAATAACGATTTCCTTATTAATTATAAATTTAAATCTTCTATTATGACTTCTTTCAACCCCGATCATCCATTTAGAAAAATTTGCGAAATTATTCTATATGATTTCCCTCTTTTTTAACATTACTGACTGACTCACATTATTTCAACTCAGTTTCTCAATGTCTAGCGAAGCTACTCTAAATCGAGGTATTGGAGAGAGAAAGTATACTGTAGACAGAATAGCTCCTCTGTTTAAAGCCATTGAATCAATATATCGAGAATACGTTTTCGATTGGAAGTTCAAGCAACCTGTATAAAAGATGTCAAATCTGTATTTACAGAATTCGATTTTACTTTAAACAAAGTTAATGGAATTGGTTTCAAAACCGGAAGCAACAAAGAATTAGTATTTATTGAGGTTTCTGGTGGACCAGAAAATCCTGTAGAAAAACATGTTAAAGAAGACACGGAAAAGTTGATTAAAGAGGCAATGTTTGGCTTAATTTCCCTTCTTCGTGATTACTTAGATAAAAACGCCGAGTACGCAAGGAACATATGCACTTACATGGTGCAATGGGGTGCGCAATATACTATGTAAATCAAAACCATACATGGTATCATATAAAAACTTAATATCTAAAATTTTATATAGCATATAATTTTGCTTATAATTTTTCGCGAAATTTAAATAGATGCACAGCCTTAACGGTTTAATATTCTAGGATAAAATTTTGTAGAGGCCAATACTATAGCTCTACAAGCAAAGTTACGAAGCTATTTACAGGTTTTGTATACCAATTTCGGACATTATAGCAATCAAATTCGCAATCAAATTCGGACATAGTAGCAATCAAATTTGGACATTTCAGCAATCAAATTCAGGCAGCGATATCTCGTGATCTAGTGGTCCAAACCACACGATGTTGGTACCTCAACTAGTCTTGTTAAGACGAGTCGAATGGTACTAACATCACGTGATTTGGACCACTAGATCACGAGATACCGCTGTTCGAATTTGATTGCCAAGATGTCCGAATTTGATTGCTAGAAT